TCTGGAGCTTCAGCAAAAGCAAGTGAGAAAACCAAAATTTTTTGTCAAATTGCAAGATACAACTATGGCAGATCTTCAAAATACACCTTGTCCAGTACAAGAAGGATTCAAATTGCTCACCTGTACAAAGCTGGGTTAGATTTCCCTCTCTAATAGGATGTCACGGTGTCATGCCCAGCTGGCCCTTCTTCGCTGCGCTTTGTCCGAGTGGCTGAGCTGCCCCGCACCATCCCCACCGCCCACAGCCCCATCCCGCCCTGCACAGCCCTGCACGGCCCCACGCTGCTCCGGGCCACCCACACGAGGCACCGCTGCAGCCAGCCCCGCGCTGCGCCCCCGCGAACACCCCGTTCCGCAGGGCTCCTCGACGCTGGGTGCCCGTCCAGCCCCGGTGTGGGACGGGGGCGGCTGCAGTCCCAGAGAGGGGCTGGGGATGCGGGTGCCAGCAGAGCCGCGCGCGGCCCCAGCACAGACAGACCAACTCTGCTTTGTATCTAAATCTTTATTAGAACAAATCCCCAGAGCTGTAAAACAGTAAGTAACAATAAAATTAAATATTAAACACTTCCGTTATCAAAGATATTTAAACATTTCTATTTCTGCACAGCAGAAGCAAACAGGTTTTAGAGCTCAAATTGTCATGTGCTCATGTTAATTTGGTTTTGGCATGAAAAATAATATAACTTTAACAATCGTATTAAGAACAGAAAGAGGATTGGTGACACAGACGGTAACCAGTGCTCCACTCCTCAAGCCGTAAATGGCCATTTTGTGATTTTGCAATTTGGGGCAAATACTTATGAATTTTTGGTAACACAGGTTAGCAGACAATCTTTATATTAGTAGCACTGCTGTTATTTAAACATGGAGAAACTATTATATTTCTAATTTGATTACACTGCAATATAAATTATGTTGCCTGGAAAATCATCACCTGTATCAAAAAAATTAGAAAATTAAGAGTCATTTATAAAACACTTCCCAAACACCTACATAACTGTGGTGTAGCAGACATCTGCAAGCTCCCATTTTCATTCTTCTACTTTAAATAGCAAGAGCCCCTCCTCCCCTCAGTCACGCAGGTGCAGTATGATCATTGCAAGCAGGAAAGACCTATCCACAAGGTCACCATCCCATAAATTAAAACCATAAAAAAAATCTACTATCAAAACTCAGTTTTGTGTTATTCTTGTTTAGCTAACTTTGCAACACCACCACTGTCCTGTGTTTTCTGTTGTTGTTCTGACAACAGCAGCAGTGAACTTCTGTGCGCTGCAGTATTCACAAAGAATGACAAATTAATCAATTACATTAATATTATATCCATTGATTTCAAGCAAAGAGTTTTTTCCTTCTTGTCTAGCCTGTTCTGGTTTGTAGTTTACATGATGTGAATTAATGTTGAAATATAAACCAGGTAAAGTAACAGCCAGTAAGGCACTTGGTCAGAGAGGACACAACTGTCCAGGCTGAGCCTAGGAATCAGCTGGAGAGAGACATTCCGCACCCAGCTGACAGCTGGCCTATTCCTTAAAATCGCTTCTGTGACCACTGGTTTCAGAAGAATGCTCAATGACAGTCTGAGGAAAAGTTTAACATTGTGTCCTCCAAAATCTTTTTTCCACTCTACAGCGGAACATGCAACAGTAAAATGTTTTATTATTTTAAATAGCAACGTTGGAAAAAATATTCAGCTTCCTCAGAACACCCACTTCACAGAGTTAATCACTAAATGCTACAAAAATGAACCCAATTTCTTTGTTTCTTTGTTTTGCCTGGGGAGGGGTGTCTTGTTTTAAATTTCTTCACAAAACAAAGGCCTGACATTAAAAACTTTGGTGTAAAACAAGCAAATCAAAGCAACACATTAGTATGCCATAGGGAGATACAGTGCATCAAACCAGGACTAAAACAGACAAGGTTGCATGGTTACAGGAAGGGCTATTTTCTACCTTATCTTTGCTTCTACATTCTGCTTGTTTAAAATCTTCAAGAGTCTTATTCATGTCAAAGGGTCTTTCTGCAGGGCTGGCATGTCTCTATGTACCTTCCACTAGGAGGAAGAAGGGCAGAAATTAGAGCCCGGCCAGCCAGCGGGCAGGTACAGTCCCACCACTGCCTGTGCACACCTCAGCCCTGGGGCCCCTTGGCTTTTACTGCGCTAAAGTTTGGCTCTGCTGCTCTAGCACTGGCCATGGCCTTGCGGTTCTAGTGTTGGCCATGGCTGTCTAGCATCAGTCGTGCTGCCCTAGTGCTGTGCTGCTCTAACGTTGGCCATGTCTGTGTGGCTCTAGCGCTGGCCATGGCCGTGCTGCTCTCATGTTGGCCGTGGCCGTGCTGCTCTAGCGCTGTGCTGCTCTCACATTGGCCATGATGGAGTGGCTCTAGCGTTGGCCGTGGCCGTGCTGCTCTAGCGCTGTGCTGCTCTAATGCTGGCCATGATGGAGTGGCTCTAGCACTGCGCTGCTCTAGTGCTGGGCACGGCCATAGCCTTGGGCTTCGCCGTGCTGCACACACAGAGCAAGGCAAGTTCTTGGCACCGCGCAGTCCCATGATGGTATCAACGGGTTTGGTCACTGATGCTTCGGGACTCGGCATCGAAGGGTAGATAGCATCTTCTACCGTGACCTACGCAGCCCATGTTCCACTAGCTAAAGTGAAGAATAGAATCTAAGATTTTACACTTAAATCAAGTAAACAAATAAAGGTCCAGATCCATAAATCTCACATTTAGTACCTGTGCTGTAAGTTAGCAGAGTCTCACACACAGGATTAGTTAGGAATCACTATAAATTGGTCTTAAAACATTTAAAGTGATTTTTTTCCAATACTTGCATTAATTTCTATTTAATTCTTCCCTAGCAATTTTTTAAAAGCCAATTTTACTACTTTTTCCAATTTGTTTATTCAATTTACTGATTACAAAATTTGCACGATATTGCTTTGTATTTTCACAGTTCTCTTAACTACATCATTAAGTAAATGGCTTTTAAATTTTCTTCTCAAAATCATGGACCACTTACATTCTAAACAATTTCACAAAAAATCAATGGAGCAATTTATATATATATATATATATATATTTTATATATATATTTACTGTATATAAATATTAATGCAGTTTAAAACTTTGACTTTTAGAAATTCATCTAGCAAATGCATAGGTTTGTTACAAAAGTCTTCTAATCAAATAACTTTATACTATTTCTATTATGTTGTATTCCTAATAAACTCTATGGTTACATTCATATGACGAAGAGCACATTGTATTCAGAAATACACTTTTTTTTTTCCTCAGTAAGACACTCAAATCCAGTAGAGAAATATAAATTTCTTAAAGCAGTTTCTTCAACTGCAAACTAACTAGAGAGCAGTCAATCAAAATTACATTGGAGCTTGGACTGGACTCATAGTCCAGTAACTTTTAAATCATGAAAAGGTGGCACAAACTTCCCCCAAATTGTTGATTCAGTACTCAGAAAAGATTAGAATTTTAGGGGGCTGATATTCAGTGTCATGCACATGATTAGATGGGAATGATGATACTGATGAGACTTCTACTCCTCAGTCAAGCACCTGATTTTTGGAAGGCAGGTTCAGCCCTTTCTTGAAGTCAAGTTCACTCTAAGGTATCTCAAAAAGGTTCTCAAAAATGAAGATGCCCAAAATCACTAGTTTTGTGCTAGTTTAAGTCCTAAACTAAACCCCTAATTTCTGCTCTAGGGGAAGAGCTACAATGCTCCTGGATGGAAGCCTGCCGGTGTTCTGTCACTGACGCTGCACCTTGCAGGATCTGGAGATCAGATGCTTCAAATCAGTGCTCCAAATGTGTGGAGCACTGGAGTATTACCAGTGCCCCAGAGAAGCAGCATGGGGGAGAGTCTTTCTCCTTTTGCGGCAAATAAAATGCTCACAGACTGGAGTCACAAGTGCAATATCACTCTGAGATGTGAGCTGGCAGTAAATTTTCCCCCAACATCTGAACTTAATCAACTAGAGAAGAACGTGCCTTTCGCTTTCTGATATCTATGGACTCCTTAGGCTAAAAAAGCCTAAGAGCCAAATTAGCTCTGAGAGCCAAATTTCTGTAACAATAGATGTGGGAATAATATGTCGCTCCTGAAAAGTGGACCACATTAATGTCCTTGTTTAGTATCATGGAACCCGTGAAAACTGGGGGCAGAGGCTCTGGCATGCACTAGTGCAGTGAAACGTTTCCAGTTCAGCTCATGGAAATAACAGTCTTGAAAAGTGTCTTTCATTTTCTCAGGCTTCAGGACTTACGTACCTCTCTCTTTAACATTCCAATACAGCATTGACTTTTCCTGTGAGCAGAACTGCCACTGACCTCAATAACAGTTGAATCTAAGGGGTTTCATAGATCTGAATAGAACGTTAGTGTGATTTATATTGATCAACTTTGAACTAATAATCAGGCAACTTCAGTAATCTAAAAGCATATTCAATCTTTTGGAGCATCTTTCATGAGTGACATAATCTTGTGTCATCAGAAGATCTGTTTGTGTTTCTTATCCAATACATTACTGCTGGAGCCACTGAGTGCTGGAGACCTAAGAGCGCATGCTTTGCCTTTGGCGTCAGCTTGGTCGTTGCAGTGTCTCTAGGAAGCCCTTCCGAGCTGGCCGAGGCAATGGGACCTGTGCACACACACAAAGCCAAGGCTTTCCTCTGAGGAAAAGCTGCATTTTGTTTTCCTTTCAGCAAAGCACGATTTCCTCATAATGCAGAGCATAATCAGAGTCATTAGAGATGGGGACATTAAAACAAGAACATCTCTCATACACATCAGCTGAAAACGATACATTTGCCATCTTGTACCAGATGAAACCTCATTTGTGTGAGCCACAAATCATATTAAGTGCAATGGGACCTTCCCTCATTTATATCATCTGTTAAACACAACTCATAGAAAACTTCACTTTAAGTAACATCCACTGTGGTCTTCTCTGGTCACCTTCTTTGGATCTACAGGGTACCATCCTTCATTTCTTAAAACACACAGTTGTGGATGTGATTAAAATATTATGATGTTTTCCAG